AGGTCTAGATACCCTTCTTTCAAAGAGTGGCCTTTTCTGTACAGAATGTATCATCAAAATAGTGACCTTTATGTTTGAAATGCATCTTGTCCTTGTGGGTTTATTCTTCTATCTTAGACCATGCATTTGTAAAGTGAGCTGTTTTGTTTCTCCAATGTATAGAGCTACATGTCTCATTGAATATCTTTGAATACAACAATAAAAGTCCTTCTGTATTCCAAGAAGCGTATCTAGACCTGGTATTCTACCACTTTGGATTGGTTTGCCTGAACCGGTAGCGGAAATCATGGGTGGCTCCGCCCATCCAGTCTGGCTCTACGGCATCCCATTTAGGCTCTTTTTTTGCCCAAATTGCATGCACAGAAAGCGTGTGCATGCTCTCATTTGCCAACCGGTAGGGAATACCATCCCTCAGGGTGTCAGCTTGGCAATTCTCGGCAGGCAGATAACTTATCCCCTTACTGTATGAAAAAGAGTAAGAAGAAGGAAAAAGTAAGAAGTTGGGGAAAAATATCTCCCCACCATCACCTTGCACTCACCTCAGACTTAAAAATCTATGGCTCTCTTATCCCAATGAGTCAGAAACCTGTCTAAAAGTTTTCTTTTCAAAATCGAGAGCTTTGGCTTCTCAAAAATCAGCTTGGCAGGAAAAAAAAAACCAGCTGTTCACTGATAAAGCAAATGAAAAAAAAACCTTGTCATTCAAGATGCCATTTTCTAGAGGACTGAGGGGAACCTTCTCTGGGCTGTCTCCCTCCCTGTAGAACATCATCCCTGTAGAGATACAATGGGCCAGCCCTGTGATTTTCTTTTAAAAGGCCATGAAAATTTCATTTTGTCATCAGGCACAAGAATTCAAGGGATATGTGGAGTTCAACAAGTGGTTGGTCTGAATGTTGTTGTCAGGAAAATGTAAGATATACCTGTAGAGCCATGATGGCAAACCTATGGCACACATGCCACAGGTGGCACATGGAACCCTCTTTGAGGTGAGCTGTCACCCCAGCTTAGCACCATTGCACATGTGCGCCCCTCCCGCCAGACAGCTGATTTTTGAGACTCTGTCATGCATGTAGGAAATGTGCATGCATGTGTGGCGTGTGTGGGGGGGACATACCCCCTGTGCCCTGTTTTTGGTCCCAGGAGGCTTCAGAGAGGCCTCCTAGGACCTAAACGGGGCACAAGAGAGGTCACATCCAGAGGCATGGTAGGGTGGGGGGGAGAACAGGGGGATGTCGTGCAGATGCACTGGGGTGGATGGGTGGGGGGTGTCACACATGCATTGCATTATGGGTGTGGGCACGCATGTGCATGCTGTCATGCATGCATGTGCAGTTTCATCACCCGGGGACAAAAAGGTTAGCCAGCACTGATATAGAGTCTTATTTTTATAAGATACCCAGCAACACTGTGAGTCGGAAAGCCATATAATTTTTCTAGTAAATAAACAAGTGAATAAGTAAAATTATAGTAATTTTAAGAGTCTGTTCTCAAGCAGTTCATTTTTAGACCTACAGCCTTTACTATAAGTTAGATTTTAAATTTCCAAATATCTTGAAATCCCAGTCATGGAAATGTGTTATTTCTGAAATTTGGGAAAGACTGAACTAACACTGCATACTTATCTGCTTAACAAATTTCTTTCCTCTTCCAGATTTAGATGACTGTTTGCCCTGTCCTGAAGAATGCTATGCTAACAAGGACCAGGTGCTTTGCATTAAAAAACATGCAACTTTCTTGTCTTACAAAGAACCCTTGGGAATCACCTTGACCAGTGTGGCTTTCCTCTTTTCTTTCATCTCAGTTGTGCTGCTGGGGATCTTCATTAAATACCAGGATACTCCCATAGTCAAAGCCAACAACAGGAATCTCAGTTATACTCTTCTCCTTGCTCTCCTGCTTTCCTTCCTTTGCACTTTGCTTTTCATTGGGCAACCTGACCAAATAAAATGTCTCACGCGACAAACTACTTTTAGCATCATTTTCTCTGTAGCCCTTTCTTGTATATTAGCAAAAACAACCATAGTGGTCCTTGCTTTCATGGCCACCAAGCCATGTTCCAAAATCAGGAAATGGGTGGGGAAAAAGCTGACCAACACAATTGTCGTGTCTTGCTCCCTGGTGCAAGCCACCATTTGTAGTGTGTGGCTGGCAATTTCCCCCCCATTTCCAGAATCAGACACACACTCCATGGTTGAAGAAATTGTCCTGGAATGTAATGAAGGTTCACCCATCATGTTTTACATTGTCCTTGGCTTTATGGGGTTCTTGGCTGCTGTCAGCTTCACAGTGGCCTTCCTAGCCAGGAAGTTACCTGACAGCTTTAATGAAGCCAAATTTATTACCTTCAGCATGTTTGTCTTTTGCAGTGTCTGGGTGTTGTTTATTCCCACCTATCTGAGCACCAAGGGAAAATACTTGGTGGCTGTGGAGATCTTCTCCATTTTGTCTTCAGCAGCAGGATTACTGAGCTGCATCTTTTTCCCAAAATGCTACATTATTGTGCTGAGGCCTGACCTGAACCGAAAGAAACAGTTGATAAAGAAACAAAATTGAATTCCAGATTTATTATTTATTTATTTATTTATTTATTTATATCCATCAAGATTCTTTCTCTATGTCAAGTTTCATTCTGTTGAATGGCTTTCAATTTGGCAAGATAGTTAAAAAACACCCAGACACTGCAAAAGACAAACATGCTGAAGGTAATAAATTTGGCTTCATTAAAGCTGTCAGGTAACTTCCTGGCTAGGAAGGCCACTGTGAAACTGATAGCAGCCAAAAAACCCATAAAGCCAAGGACCAGGTAAACCATGATGGCTGAACCTTCATTACATTTCAAGACAATTTCTTCAACCATGGAATGCCTNGATAGATAGATAGATAGATAGATAGATAGATAGATAGATAGATAGATAGATAGATAGATAGATAGATAGATAGTAATAGAGGGAGAAGATTGGATGCAAATCAAAGCCATTTCAGTGAAATCTAATCTGAGCTCTTCATAAGAGCATTCATTGTGATTTTTCTTAAGCTATTGTCTCGATGCCCTGAAAAGTCCCCTTAATTAAAAATATTCTTCCAAAAAAGGTAACATTTTGAAATCGGAGCAAGTGAAACAGACAAATAGCATGATTTACATCTTCAAGTAACCTCCTCCACATATTACACTATGAATCTACAAAAATACTGCAAGCTTGATCTTTTATTTGCACATTTCTTATTACTTTTAGTTGAAGTAATATTGTTCTCATCTAATAGGGTTTTTATATACAATATTTAAAATTATTCTTGCTAAAATCAAGTGTATTATAAAACTGGTATTGACCAGAAGAATGTTTTGGGGTGTTTTTGCATATCAGAAGTCCCTTCTTTACTATTTTTTTTCACATTTATAAAGATCAGGCACTAAGAATTTGCTAAGAAAATCATTGCTGGAAATATTCCTTCAGCAGCCCATATGCTCATTTGTTTTACAAATACCTCCTCGCCTTACTCTACTCTATTACAAGGCATTGTTCGTTTTCAGAAATAATAGCAGGAATAGGGGTTTCCTATGAAGTGTTCTTGTTATTATTTGTCAAGAGTTTAGCATTTTACTGACCCTGCCAATGAGAGCATTTGACTGGCAGAGTCCAGGAAGCGCCAGTTCTCTGACCCCAGAGGTGAAGTGGGCCCCACTTACCTGGCCTTTCAGAAATATCTGGAAACCTGGATCTGTTTATTTGCTTGAAGTTCACGAGAAGAGCACACACTTTGGCAATTGGTTAGTGCCTTCACTCACTATCATCTCCCCAACAGTGGTGGGTTCCGGATCCTGTTGCAACTGGTACGGTACAACAGGGCGAGGGGCCCACCACATGAATGTGTGCAGCATGCGTGCACACACCTGCAGCGTGCACATGCGTACTTACCGCCTGCTATGCTCCAGCTGCTCGGCGGAGTGTCATGCAGGCATCATACGCTCCATGCGCAGAAGCCCCGAAAACTTCAAATACCAGTAAGGAGTGTGGATGGGTGGGCAGGCCCTCCAGAGCACTGAACCAGAACAGTACCTGGTGCTCCCGGCAGGCAGCGGTACGCCCGTACTGGGGAGTACTGGTTGTAACCCACCACTGCTCCCCACTCTTTAATTTTAATCATTCTATTCTGGTTTTAACTGACTTCTAGTAGGACATAATATTTATATGGTTTCAGAGGTGGGTTACTGCCAGTTTGGCCCAGTTCAGCTGATCTGGTAGTGGAATTCAGACCTGGGTTGCAGAACTGGCAATGACCCAGGACTGCAATGCCCCCGAACCATTTCCCTTGCTGCTGCTTGGCTGCCATTTTGGATTTTAGTGACTGCACATGCGCCGTTCACTGTAAATTGTTCTGCACATGCACGAAGAACAATTTACATTGAACAGTGCACGTGCATGCAGCACACGTTTGGCAGTAATACTGGCAGCAACCCACCCCGTATGGTTTGTATGTTTTTAACTGTACACTGTCCAGAATCGCTCTGGACAGTGAGCGAGAAGGGCAGATTCCACATTTGTTATATAAATATCTATATACATTTTTAGGCAGTGATAACTGATTAGCTAACAATGGAGCAGGAGAACCCAATATGATACTAGTGGTCCACCTAGAAATTAACAGGTTTTGAAACCGGATCTTTTCGAATAACCCACTTGCCCAATTCATAAACTATGTCACTCTTTCAGAGTAAGTAAGATCAAGAAACTGAAGCAATAGAGGAAGCCTCTTCATTGGTGAAGGGTAGGCAATGGGCATCTTGAAAAGGTTTTCAAATGATCCCTTCTCACCCTTTCTACTTTCTCAGGAGTGAGTTGCTGTTTCTCCTTCCTTAATTGCTGTCTTCTCCCTTCCAAAGGGCAGATTTACATTCTTTCACACATTGTCATGTATCAGCCAAGGGATTTTGCAGCATATACCTCTAGGATTTTTCACTGTAGAGCCTCAGAAAAATTGCAGACTACCGGAACCATTTGCACTTCAGTTTGAGATGCAACTAACACGGACTCATCCCCGACAGCCTGCACCTGCCTTCAACATTGAGGAGACACAGGACAGAAAACATCCTGCAACCAAGAAGGTTCCACACAAATTTGCACTACTCAAGTGACCGTGAAGACACAGATGAACTTCCAAGTGGCCTCAGAAACTCTCTAAAACAGTGTTTCTCAACCTTAGCAACTTGAAGATGTCTGGACTTCAACTCCCAGAATTCCCCAGCCAGCA